CAACAAGCATGGCCATCACTTGGTACCCAACAACAGCAGTTAGCACGTGGTACTCAACAACAGCAGATACCACATGGTACACAACAGCAGATCCCACATGTTACAAAGCAGCAGGCATCACAAAGTATTCAACAAGCATGGCCATCATTTGGTACCCAACAACAGCAGTTAGCACGTAGTATCCAACAACAGCAGATACCACATGGTACACAACAGCAGATACCATATGGTACACAACAGCAGATACCACATGGTACACAACAGCAGATATTACATGGTATACAACAGCAGATATTACATGGTATACAACAGCAGATACCACATGGTACACAACAACAGCAGTTAGCACATGGTATCCAACAACAGCAGTTAGCACATGGTATCCAACAACTGCAGATAGTACATGGTACACAACAGCAGGCATTACAAAGTAGTCAACAAGCGTGGTCATCACGTGGTACCCAACAACAGCAGTCACCATGTGGTATGCAACAACAGCAGGTACCACCAGATACCCAACAAGCATGGTCATTACGTGTTACTCAACAACAGCAGTCACCACATGGTATGCAACATCAGCAGGTATCACCAGGTACTTCACAAGCATGGGCATCACGTGGTACCCAACAACAACAGTCACCACATGGTATACAACAACAGCAGGTATCACCAGGTACTCCACAAACATGGGCATCACGTGCTACACAACACCAGCAATCACCACAAGATACCCAACAAGCATGGTCATCACGTGGTACTCAACAACAGCAGTCACCACATGGTATGCAACATCAGCAGGTATCACCAGGTACTCCACAAGCATGGGCATCACGTGGTACCCAACAACAACAGTCATCACATGATACTTTGCAAGCATTGTCATCGCCTCGCACTAAACAAATGGCACATCGTACCGAAAAATCAGAGCCAAAAACTTTTGAAGATGTAAAGATACTTGTTCCTAAAAGACCATGGCCACGTGATACTAAATCATCATGGCCAACTAGTCCTATACCACCAGACAAATTTGTATCTAAACAGGTATTAGAAAAGATATTATGTTCTCAATGAGAACAAATATAAATTATCAAATTCAAAACAGAGTTCTGTTTATTAAATGTAATTTAATGGTAATTATATATCTTGTGTGTATTTTCTATTTAGGATCAGGCAGATACAAAAACTATGCATCTAGAATACTTTAATCTTATACCATTGAAAACTAGCCGTAGTGGTGGGCAGGCTGGTAGAAAAATTTCTGTAGAAACGAACGTGCTTAGGCTCAATTTTCCTAAAAATTTTCAAACAAGGGTTATACATTATGATGTCTCTATTACACCAGATAAACCGAAATGTTTTTTAAGATCTGTTTTTGAGAAATACAGGTTAGTGCAATTTCCGAATAGATATCCTGCATTTGATGGCAGGAGAAATGCATATAGTGCAAATGATCTTCCTTTTGGTGATGAAAGTGTAAGTAATAGATTGATAATGTGCTTTTATTATTATGTGCATAACTTTTTTATTTTTGTATCCTATATTTTTACTATTTATTTATTGTAGTATCCTATATATTTTTTTACATATTTATGTATGTTTATGCTTCCATTGTAGAAACAACTAGAAATAGAGGTTTTTGATCATGAGTTCCAAAAAAATAGAATATTCAATATATCTTTGAAAAGAGTTGCAGTTCTTGATTTATCATGGTTAAAAAGTGGATCTGAGATTGAAAAATCTGAGATTGACATGAAACAAAGGTGTGTTCAAGCATTGGATGTTATTTTACGGCATGGTCCTTCATGTCAATATACAACGGTAAATTACCGAATATTATTTATTCTTCAAATAATTTAAGTGAAATTTATTTAATACTTTAATCTGTTTATGTATTAATGCAACATATATTCATGATACATGATATAAGAAGTTCATCGTCAATTTTTTCCTCTTCTCGGGTTCTTGAATATTTTGTCTTCGATTCTTTCTTGTTTTAACTAAGCTCCTTTTTCAAGTCGTTGATCTTTTCAGAACTCCTTAATATGCTATAATGTTAAAATATAATATAATTAATATGAATTTACTCCACTTGAATCATTATTTAATATAATAATACTTCAATAGGTTGGCAGATCACTCTTTCAACCACCAGAAGGTAGAATTGTATCATTGTCAAATGGTTTAGATTTATGGATTGGTGTATTTCAATCTGTTATAATTGGATCCAGGCCATATTTGAATATAGATGGTAATATGTTAATATAATCACATTTTTATCTATTATATATTAAATTTGAATTTTAATATATAATTTTTGTGTATTGTAAAAATAGTTGCACATAAAGGATTTCCTACAAGTCAACCAGTTATTAATTTATTGAAAGAGTTCTGCAAGAATCCGAAATCTTATGTATTACCAGATGAGATAACTGCAGCAGACATAGACCGAAATTCAGATAAAATAATGAAATTCTTAAAGGGATTAAAAGTTCAGTATGAATTGCCTGATCAACCTACCACTAAAAGAACTTACATTGTAAATGGATTAGTTCCTCCTGCAAGAGAAAACACATTTAGTTTACAAGATGGAACTAACTGCACAGTTGAACAATATTTTTTACAAACTAAAAAATATAAAATAAAACATTATGATTTACCTTGCCTTTGGGTGGGATCTAAAGCTTCCCATATCCATGTGCCCCTGGAGGTAAATATTGATGAAAAAAGAGATACATTGTTGACTGGTAATTTTTTAATGCTTACGTATAAAAAAAAAAAAACAAATTGACTCGTGACCGGTCAACGATGTATTAAT